TGCTCTAAAATCCTACTTTTGATACCAACTAATTATAGACAATATAAATATGATTTTGTACAATAAAATGATGTTTTGACATATAAAAACATAATGTGATGCATGACGATAAGTTCGGGTGTTAACACTCGATACTAGACCACTATTTGTTATTAGATTTTATGATTGTTTGACTATTGATTATGATAATTAATTATGTTGAATACTCTGAATGACGATCATGAATTGTTAAGTTGAGAATAATGAATTAATAAATCATAGTATTAAGGCTATTTAGAAGACCTCTAAGATAGACCTCTGATTAGAATGGGCCTTGCGAGTATAAAACGTATATTTGGTGGCCTTGGGTAAAAACGTACGTACGGGGTCCATAACCAAACTAGAGGAACTCGTTTGGGGATACCACCCAACCCGACAGTCAGTATCCTACTGTTTGGTTTTCTAGATTTGTACCTTAAGCAAAGGCTAGTTTAAGAGTTGGTAAATCAATCAGAATATATGTACCTTAAACCAATGACCTAGCTTAAGAGTTGGATAGAGGTATCTTAAACTAGAACTAGTTTAAGAGTTGGTAAACATCAAATAAATTGGCCTTAGACTAAGAATAGTTTAAGGATATTATTGAATGAGGATGTTGAATGTTGAATATGAATATTGAATGACGAATGTTGAATATTGATTATTGTATATTTGAACTGAATACCGTGTGCATGATATCAAATGATTTGATTATGAATTTGGATTCAATTTATGTGGATGTTCGACGCTTTAGATATGCTTACTCAGCTTCACCGCTGAGCGTGTAGTGTGTTTTATTTGCTACACGCAGGTAGGCAGAACGAGTAGTTGACATGTTCCTGGCAGTAGAAGGAGCGAGGCGATCGTGGTGGATTTATGATTTAAAATGATTAAATTAAATTGTTATGAGACATGATTTAAATTGCTTCCGCATTATGGTTAAAAACTCCGTAATTTATTACTGTTATGAATGGAATATTATTTTATGATAAATAAAGATGTTAAAATGTTTTAAATTTTTATGATTACCAAGTTAATACTTTAGTCCGAAAGGGGCTGCAGACCTGGACGGATTAGGGTGTTACAATTTGGTATCGGAGCAAATGGTTTTAAAACCGATCTGCGGATCAAAATAATAATAATAATAATAAATTTACATATATGATATAGATATTTTTGGTCCAAAAAAAAAATCGGTCAAATCCACGACTCTCGCATCCCTCTGCTCCAGGAAGGTAATAAAAAAAAATATTAAGTATGGAATTTGACTGTATTAAATCCTTATAGATGCCAACTGTTAATTCGGAAATGATATCAAGTGTTGGTTCAAGTCGCACTTTCGTACATGGTAAAAGAAGAAAGAACAAACGAAATGTATATGACTCGCTGATACGTTATCAACGCGCCCATCGCTTCGCACGAATAATGAAACGAAAGATTTATCTGCGCCGCAAGGCTGCATGGGAACGGGACGACCCGGAAGAGACATTCAGCATAGACTCTGCAAATAGCGTATGCGGATCGGGCGTAGAAGACCCAGCTATAGAATCGTTACGATCCAATCGAACGAATGCAAACGTTTAAAAAATTTCTCGTTGTTTGTTTCAAATCCATTAATTGTATCGAATGTTGTAATCCTTTGCAATTCCTGTCATGAACTCAACTACTAAAATAAAAGAATCCTAATAAAGGAATTTCTGTTATTGTAGAATGAGTCAAGAATCCGCCCACGGACAAGGCAACAATGAACACGTCAGTGTTCATACTGAAGCATCT